ATGTTTATTATTAATACCATTTCCCTGTCCCTGCTTTAAAACTTTAGGATTATGCTGGGTTTCTGTTTGACAATGACAAATGATGTGAACAAATTCATTTAGAAAAGATTGATGTCCTTTATGTCATTACGATACGTTGTCCATAGAGGTGGATATGTGACTGTTCATGATGTTTTAGCGAGTATACCATATGTGCTCACTTTCATTAGAATATCAAATGCATTTATTCTATTTGATAAATCCCAGAAATGCATTTGTAAAGAGATATATCGTAGATTAATACATCCAAGGTTTCTTATTGTCTTATAGGCAGTTTTTTTCTATTGTCTCTAATGTTTTATTGAATACATTACTATACAATTGTTTGTATGGTTACAAATCTTTAAAGACTATGCATGTGGAAGTCCTTTCAGTTCATTTGCACGCAATCTATGTTAATATTTTAAACAGTGTTATTATATCTATATGTAAATATACATAGATGGAATAGTATGTTTATGAGCTTTTATGTATTTATAAAATGATTATTTGTATATAATGCAAATGAAAAAGGAAATTAAATTTGCATACACATACTAAATAAGAACTAATTATTGAACATTTTTTTTCTAATTGGTGTGTTTAAAGCTTAAACCGTGAATGGATTCAGCGTATGGTATTTATTCCCCAACATGACATTAACTGACAAATAGAAAAAAGTATTGTTTATATAAAATCATTAATATGAGTCAATTTAGAATTCAAAAGTCCTATTTGAATGGAAATTTTATTCATGACTGATCCAGGATGGAAATGAAATTTTCAAATGGTAGACCATCTAAAAGTGTGTTAATGGCCCAGTGTTATGATGTGGAAAAAAAATAATGACTAAAGTTTCCATGTAGGAATGATATAGGCACATGATCTAAAGATGGTATTCATTATGCATATTTTTTATGATTACCAATATTGCTTTATACCAGATCTTTATAAAAATTAGTCCCCACAAGAAAATGTATTCATGTTTATTCATGGATGGAGAGTTGTCTCATTGGCACTCATACCACATCTTCTTATATCTATGTTATTGTAATTTTGAGTTTTTCTGATCGCATATTATGCTTTCTTTTTGAAAATAAGGTCTACTTACAATTTATCTACATGTAAGATCAGCTCTGCAATATTTTGAAATATCATTTACTTTAAGAGCAAAATTCTTAAGGGGTAAACATCAAAGGTTTGATAAGATTAACTAGAAGAACATACAACTTATATATAATTGATTGATTGTTGCTGTGAAACGCCACTTTCAATATTGGCTATGTCGTGGCGGCCAGTTTTTACTGGTGGTATAAGGAAGCGAGAATGCTCAAAGAGAACCGCTGATCTTCGGTAGGAGCAATCTAGACAATTAGGATTGGAGAAACGCGGAAGGTTTGAACTCTCAACCTCAGTGTGAACTGACTACTTTGACCATTACTCATCTATGGAGTTGATCTCAATAACTGCAAGTTAATTTAACATGGCTGCATTATTGATTCATTGAATTGTTGTTTTTATTGATTATTATTGTAGAATTGCTTACCGTTGTCTTTTAGTGAACAGATCTCATAATATAAGTTGCATATGAAGATAAACGTTATTATTTTAACATATATATGATAAAATTTCTATAAAAATGATTGATATGTTAAAGTGGTCAATTAAAGATAAAGTATATAAATGAATACAAAGAAAAGAGAGGCGAAAAATACCAAAGGGACATTCAAACTTATAAGATGAAAATAAACTGACAACGCTATAGCTATAGCTAAAAAAGAAAAATACCAACAGACAAACAATAGAACACAAAACACAACATAGAAAAATAAAGACTGAGCAAACAGGATCACAGGTGCTCCGGAAGTGTAAGCATATCCTGCTCCACATGTGGCACCCGTCGTGTTCCTCATGTTGGTACAAACCCGGTAATAAGTCTAATTCTAATAGAAGAAATCCTTTGAATATTTGTTGCTGTATATGACAATGACCCTTTTCTTTTTTGACATATCATATAAAGTCATTAAAATAAATGATTTATTTAAATCCAAAGTCAAAGTTTTTGTTCATTATATTGATGTTTATTTACTTGTAATTAATTAAGATTAAAACAAGATTTATTTCATTTAAAAAAAAATGATGATTACAAATATTTAAAAAAATCTTACAGAAATAAGAAACATTTAAATTGAAACATGAAAATTGTCATTCTTGGACTGCATAAGAACCCGTAGACAATTAAAATATGACAGTATTTTCATAACTAAAACTTGCTTAATAAAAAGTTGGAAATTATTTTTAAAGGATAATCTCTAATATTTACAGATAACAATAGGAATAAAAAAGAGCAGGAAAGATTTCTGTTTTGAGGATTCATGAAACCGAGGACTTTTTAACATTAGATGATGTTTCACATCGAGTTTTTAGCATGAATGCTTCTTAAACATATTTCATCTTAGGATATATTATTATGCGTTTTTTTTATTTTCATTTACATCTAAAGTCTAAGTTTTTTTTGACAAAAGAGAATGTAACAGTCAATGTTAAATTTGTAATGTTAAATATTCTAAATGTCACTGTTGCTGATTTTTCTTCTTGCAAGGAATGATTATTGTATCAATGATTGTGAATGCTGGTCATTATGTGCTGTTTAGGGAAACAGTTTTACACCTAAGTACCTTTAGAATGCACTTCTGTAAATATAGACAATTTCCCTTAGGAACTCCTTTTACGGCTAAAACTGTGCCACCTTTACTATGAAGTTTCGTAAAAAATTATATCCTAGAATGGAAAGTTCATATGTGCTACAATTTTTTTCAAAGGTCAAAATATAGGGCTGTACGGCATATTTTCAACATTTATATGCCCCGAACTTCTAAGTGTTTAAACTTATACTAAAATTCTGTTCTACCCCTGCCTTCACTTTTGGTCCTCCTTAGAATTTAATTTCGCCGCTATCCATGTGTATTTATACTGGTAACATTCCCAAGTTATGTCTCTATTAGATGAAACATAGAGATCATATCTGGGAACCAGTACGTAAACAAAACAAAATATCTTTGAATATTAAATATCTCCCCAAAAAGAGGCGTGGTTTGTGAAACAACTTTATTTACAAAGTGCAACCTATAACTGCGAATGCTGGCCATTATGTCTTGTTGCCAAAATAACTGAAATTAACAGAAAACAAAAAATAGCGGACTTTGGAAAAAAGGGGGAGGGCAAAAAAAATGTCCTTTCCCCAAGTACCAATGACTTTTGATACTTTTTCTGATATTATCCAGTCACAAATTTTTTTACAAAAATACATCCTACTACAGTTTACATACTTTCAACCACTCTCAAAATGCCCGCGATTTCGCGGGTGTGTTCTAGTATCATTAATTTTTGTAATAGTGGAATTAACCATTTTTGAAGTGTAAACATGTTTTCGGAGGTGTTAGATATATTACGTGCTTTTGATGGTCCTTTTGATTCAGTTGACAGTTTTGACTTTTCTTCTCTTTATACTACACTTCCATACAATTTTATCAAACACAAAATTTCCTATCTAATTAAATGGTCGTTTAATAAATCTGATTGTAAATTTATTGCTGCAAATCATATAAAGCCTTTTTCTCAAATTAGATAGGTAACTATGCAAGATATACTTACTGGATGGATGTGATGATCAAAGTCGTAATTTCCATAACAAGTATGGATAAAAAAGATACAAATATGACTCTCGATCATTGAAGCTATCATCGAGATGCCTTATTTGTTTTATTGGCAAGTTATGGGTAACATTTGGTAAACCTGTTTCACACAGACAATTTTGCCTGACATGAGTATACTCTTGTTTAAAAAAGGGTTCGGCGAGTTTTTTTATTTAGCTACTGTGTTGTTTGTAATTTTTTTATAATTGTCTGCGTTGTATATATCAATAATGAGATTTTTTTTAGCATAAATCGAAAATTATAGTTATATTTTACCAATGTACGAGTGTTTGATTTAAAATTTGAGAGTTTTCCTAGACAGCTAGTAAAGGGAAACACCGTTCAAGATAAATGCTGAATCATATTCTAGCAGTTTTGAAGTTAAACGTTGGGTTAAGATATGTTGAGGCAGGTCAAGGCGACGAAAATAGTTGTTTAAGGTGATATCTGTCGGACAAAGCGGCAGAACTCAGATCTTTAGTTGTAAAAACTGTATGTGTTTTACTCATATGGTTGTTTTTCTCTTTGTGAAAGGTACTTGTTACAAAAAAAATCTACAATTATTGAAGCCTGTATGATATTTGAAATCTTTGCAAGGAAGAATTAATTATTTCAAATAGGCGTTATGCATTTCTTATGCTAAAGGCTATTAATTCACACTATTTTGCTATTCCTTTTTTAAACATTTTAAATCTAAGTTAAGATGCCTGGACAGTCTATCAATTTTTTTTAGAAATATGATTTAATTTCTTAACTCCTATCCGGCTATGGATTTTACTGTAATTTTGTCTATGATTTATAAATTTAGGAATGTCTGAAAATTAAGACAATGAATATTGGCAAATTTGTCTTAAGTGACATCTTACACGGATATGTTTTATTAACTTACTTTGGATTTTAAGAGAGAAGCTCAAAATAATTATGTTGTAATCGTATGAAAATACTTGATATTTTCTACTAAGGAACAATCCATGTCATTTCTGTCGCTAAATGTGTAAAAAAAAATGATCCAAACACAAAACGATGATAATAATTAAAATGCTTATACTGATTAACCAGGTAGATTAATCTCTTCAAAAGTTTTAACAAATGAATTATGTATGACATTTGAGATACAAACACATATATATAGGGTTCAAATCCCGTTGGGGAAGAACAAACATTTGCTAACGCAAATTTGAAGATTTAACATTGTTGGGCTAAATTTGAGACGAATTATATATGTATATATATATATATATATTCTTGTCATCAAATTAACAAAAAACCTACCTTGATATCCGATACTGTATGTTTAGTTATGTTTAAAAAGACATAATCACTTCATCTTGCGAATAATCAATGAAAAATCACGTTCAAATGATCCAACAAGGAAGTGACTATATTCTTATTAAACTGTAAAGTTAGTATTAACATTTTGTTGGATTTTTAAGGTTTTTTGAGATTTGGCATACGAAAAAAGTAAAGTGATGAATTTATTAACGGTATTCGTCTTCACCAGCAGTGTTTCGGCATTTTATCCACGCCAACCGCCTCCGGCCGATTGGAGAACAAAGACTCATTTTGATATAACTGTAAGTGGTACATTACGAGCAATTTCAACCTATATCTTCAACAGAAATATGACAAATGCAACATCATCATCATCGGCGTTAGATGAATTCTTTGGAACAGGTAAGATTATAAAATTATAAAAGAGAAACTTGGAATCTTAATGGTTATAGTAACAAGTAATATTGAATGAATAAAATACAGTAATGTTAAAATAAAAACATTATAGAATTGTTTAAAAATTAGAAATTTTAAACAAAAGTGTTTAACTTATGTACAGACCTCATCGGTAATCTCGTGGTAGCGTGCTCATTTCGAGTGCAAGAGATCGTAAGTTCCATCTCCCACTCGGGCATACCAAGACCAAAAAGGGGTATTTGCTTTTCTTCTTTAGAACGCGACATTTAGAAGGAGAGCAAAGGGTACTGACTGGCCAGCTCAAAACACGCCTTCCTTATAGTTTGTACTTGGACATTAAGAACCAGCTTAACGTGTCGCTGTAGTTTAAAGCAGAGCTCACATTTCGATCACTATAAAATAGCATAGTCCTAATATTGATGTAATATTTGTGACTGGTCGTTATACCACCATCAATCCATATATCCCTTTTGAAATCAATACAATATTTAAAAATCAATAACATTATCTAGCAAGATCTTCTAATCGCTTTACAGAATATTATTTGAACTGTTCTCACTTTAGTGCCAAAAAAGCTCATACTCATTTATTCGAATTCCTTAAAACTTACAAGATGATATATATTTTCTCTTTATCAAAACGTAATTTTTGTTATAATCCCAACTTTCATTCATTTTTCTAAATTGAAAGATATGCTACGTCTCTTAATCAGTCAGTGAACCGTTGACAGGAGTCGCAGATGGGAGTACAAGTTTGTAGTTCGAGGTCTTATAGTCACTCAAATTTTAACTACAAGTAAACTATCTTTTCAACTTAGGACTGAATCGGACATGATGTGATGAGAGAACAAGCATATTTGGAGATTTTTACGACTGTCGGCCCAACTGGTTATTATTCGTTTGGTGTTAACGTCTTTCCTTTTGCTTTCACTCCTATGTTTACAATAAAAAAGCAAAATGAGGATATTAAATTTGATGTATGCATTTTTTGTGCTTCTTCGTTACATTTGTTTGTTTTTATAGTGATTAAGATGATAACACTATGTTGACTGCTGTACCCCTATTTTTGACATTTTTACCTATTGTGTCTGTTTGTTTTGTTCACGCATCGTTGTCAATATAATGGAATTTGATGCGACTGTCATACAAGCGAGAGGTTTAGCTAGCTATAAAACCAGGTTCAATCCACCATTTTCTACAGAAGAAAATGCCTGTACCAAGTCAGGAATATGACAGTTGTTATCCATTCGTTTGATGTGTTTGAGCTTTTGATTTTGCCATTTGATTAGGAACTTTCCTTTTAATATTTTCCTCGGAGTTCAGTATTTTTGTAATTTTTCTTTTTATTGGTGTTATTCCAGAAAATGTAAGATATTACATGACAATAAAATTGAGAATGGAAATGGGGAATGTGTAAAGGAGACAACAACCCGACCAAAGAGCATAAAAACAGCCGAAGGCCATAAATGTGTCTTCAAGACAGCGAGGAAATCCCGCACCCGGAGGAGGGCTTCGGCTGACCCTTAATCAAAAATGTGTACTAGTTCAGTGAAAATGGACGTCATACTAAACTCCAAAACATATAAATGAACTAAAATTTAACAATATACAAGACTAACAAAGGCCAGAGGCTCCTGACTGGGGACAGGTGCAAAAATGCAGCGGGGTAAAACATGTTTAGACAAACACACAGCATAACGCACAGTAAAACTCATTTTAAAAGAAGTCCGAGTCCGATGTCAGAATAGGTAACAAAAGAAACTAAGCAAATGACAATGATATATAAATTAACAAAGGACTACTAGCAGTTACTGACATGCCAGCTCCAGACCTCAATTCAACTGATTGAAAGATTATGTCTTCATCATATGAAAATCTAACACAATCCCTCCCGTTAGGGGTTTAGTATCATACCATCATCAATATATGAGAAGAACATAACCCGTTTCATGCCAAAACTGGTTTTAGAATAAATGTGTTTATTTCCGATGCAAAGACCCTTTGAGTGCATCAATGTTAATACCAAAATATGCCATAGACTATTTTCATATTAACTACTTTTGTCTCCGGATTATATTTTTTTTCGACAGATTACCTTTTCTGTTGTAGGACATTCTGGGACTCAGTCAAATAAGAGCAACTTAAAGAAGTAAAATCAAGGTTACAATCGGTACAATTTGGGAGGAAAATTAATTGTTTTATGTTTTCTATACATGACAAAATCGTTAGAAAACAGTTTACTTTCCCCCCAAATTGAACCGATTATGTGTTTGATTTTACTTCTTTTGGAAATAGAAAATAGTCTAATGTTGTGCAAGTCAATGTAACGAAAAATTCTAAACTTCTCTGTTGATTACTTAGGCAATTAGTGAGTAACTAGGGTTTAGAGTCCTTGATGCAAAGTGTACCTTAGATGGACTTGGCCATTCTTTTTATATCAATTTTGTTAATATTGATTTGAAGCATATGTATTTATACATACCTGCCTTTCAAAAGTTTGGATTTGCGTTCATGATAAAGGTAATACAGAAAAGATTTCGGACGCACGAACTGTATTGTTTTATTTTTTTAAAATATCATCTACCTCTGCTGGTGAGCTGTTAGTCCCCGAGGGTATCACCAGTCCAGTTTTAAGCAATTTGGTACTGACATTATCTATATCATACTGTTCTAAATTTAGCAGTTGAGAAATTGAAAAGGTATTGCGGAACTAATTTTTCAGCTCCATTAGGTAGAGTCGACCTGAGATAAATTGGCAAATCTTGTATGCCCGAATTGGTCATTCAACTTCTAATGTGTCTACATATTTATACACCGCTCGCTCTCAAATCATTGAGTTCGAGCGTTTTTTATAAAGGTTAATCAAGGAAAGCGCTTCAGACGCACGGAATTTATAAAGTATAGAGATGTTTTAACAAATGCCAAAACGATATTTACAACAAAAAACAGTATTTCTTTTACATAGACACGATAAGTATAAACTTTAATTGTTTGTGGGACTTGCTGTCAATTTTGCATCTAGAAATTTATTCAACTAGTTCTCTTATTCACACGCAACTTTCTACAGAAAGTAAGTATGTAGAAACTCCTTTAGATGTCAACTTAAATCGTTTAATTTAAAGTAACCACTTCACCATATCTAACAAATTGAGGGGTCTAAATTGAAAATGTTAGATTTAAAAAACAGAAAAAAGAAAATGTATATAATATCTTTCATATGCGATATTCAAAATGAAAAATTAAACCTAAAATTGAGTCATGGGCCTTCCTGGTTCACAATTTCAATTTCAACGTATGAGTGAACACAGACAATACAGGGAAAAACGTCAGTTTGTTCCTTTGTATATAAAACGATATTTTGTTTTGTAATATTTTGTAATTAAGTACATAAAGTGTTATTTCAAAGATATCAATTATAAATATGATATGTCACGGGTCTTTTCAGAAAGCTTGCAAAAGATTTATGAAAAAAAGTGTTTTACACAAAAATCGGTAATCTTGAATTGTAAGTTTTCGCTTATAAAATATTTCCCACCAGCTCTTCACAAAATCTCTCCACACTGTTTTTTTATAGGAGACACTGACATCGTTTGTTTTGAGAATATTGAAATAAGAATTTGGAGAGAAAAAGAATTTATAGTTTTCTGACAATAACTTTTGTTTTACTTAACAAATCTTATAACAGCGTTTCAATACAGTTGATACCGATGTTATTTAGTTTGGCTGAAAACGAAAAAAAGTTATAGGTGACAAACGTTTCGTGCTTAAGATAAAAAAAAAAGTGTTTTTGCGATTTGTGAAGTTTCTGACAATCACATATATTCTACTCATACTATTTTCATCAAACTATTTATTATTACTTCCTGGCTCTATTTACATAAACAACTTTTAATTTTGCTTTACATTTGACCCTTATTTTGGGTAAATTTTGGTAAAAACAAGCTTTTCTTTACAAAAATAAGTGATTTAAAAAATTGTAAGATCATCGACAATAATTTCCGTTTCAGTCATCAGATCTTTAACAAATCATTACAGACTGTGGCTTTAGGGGAAATACAGACACTATTAATTTTGTTTACAACGGCCATACATGTATTTGTTTTTTATTAGATCAGAAATTTTGATAATTTAATGGTATGTGTATCTCAGGCTTAAATTTTGGATTTGAGCTATTTGTTTAAACGATTCCAGAATTATATTTAAAGTACATCATTAACCTTTTTTTTAGAACAGCTATAAAGTTTGTGTTTTGCGCTGGTCGAAAATTTAGAGATAACCAAAAACAATTGTATGTTTAATGAATTTGTGTTTATGAATGAAAGGCTATGTTTGGTAAACATCAGTGAGACAGTAAAGAAAAAATTAATAATAAAAAAAAAAAATCCCAAAAAATTAAGAGGGCAATTTACAGTTTACCTCAACAATATACAGGTTTCATTAATATGTTTCAAGCTCTTAAGTGTTCTATAAATCTATGAACGTTATGAAAGTATTTAATAATATCAATCAGAGATCAGCCATACAGTGGCAACAAAATGTGTGTTTGTAGGCACAATTATATATCAAGTACAAGTTAGATTTTATTATATTCGTAGATAACATATCATCAGAGATGAATTTCAGTTTTTTTTCTGACATTGTAATAATATTTTATTTCCCCAATATTTTGTACTATTGAGTATTGAGTATATATATATATATATATACCACGTGTTATCCGATGGAGAATGTCTGTCATAAAGTTGTCACATGTTTAGACGTGTATAATAAAATTAAAATTTGATGTGGCGGCATGGTAATTAACATTATCATCCTTTACGACAGACAAAATAGCTGATCTGAAAGGAAAACCATTTACTTGCCACCATACATCATGTACTGTGTTACAACCTTAGATAAAACCGACGAGGAAAGGCATTACATCGACCACCGAAAGCTATATTTTTATATAGCCTAGGTTGTCGAGTGGTCTAGGGCGCTGGAAAC